AAGTTGAGGCTGCCTAATGCTGTGCCAGGATCCAGGATGGAGACCAGAAGTGAGGGGATAGATGCAATTCACAGCTGATGCTGATGGTTGAAGATGGAGCTTGCTGAATCCTAAACAGTAGCATCATTCTCAGTCCGTCTGCCTAAGGGCACTTGCATAGTCAATGGTACTGCTAGTGAAAAGAGTAAGTCACACACTAACCATGAGCAATTTATTATAATCAAAGTATCTTTTAGGGCCTCTTAAGAAACAACAATCTCATCAATACATTTGCAATATAGACACTGGTTGCCACTTCTAAGAGTAGTACTATATGGTTAATGGATCCTTCTCTATGCAAAACCAGAGAGCTTTTCATTAATTTACATAATTTCTGGCTCTGACTAATTTGTGTCTCCTATTTTCAGTGAGTCGCCACTAATTGCCATGAGCTCATTTATAAAAGAAAGACATTAAAAGCATTTTATGGAGTTGATAAATTATTAAATCAGAACAATTATAGTAACAGGGAAGCACAGTGTTCAAAATCATAAAGCAGGGAGGAGGAGGAAAGGGAAGCAGCAACATCAACTGTTATGACGGAACAGGACAACAAAGGGAAGCTTTCCTGTCCACAAAACACATGAGTGATACCCAATATGAGTTTCAGAAGCACTCGGTAACGAGATCCCCTGCATCCTGGGCCTTATTAACAACAGCTGTGACTTATTCAGTACCTATGTACTGCGTGTCAGGCACTGTACTAGGCGGTAAACATAGATGATCTCATTTAAACCTCACGACCCCTGTTAGCTGTAGTGTTTGTATACCTATTTGACAAATGAAGCACTAGAGCCTTGGAAGAACAAGGTTAAAACCCTCGTCTGATGCCACACAGCGAGGAACACAGCCAGGAGTTGAGCGTTGGTCTCCTAACTCTGCTGTGCTTGCTTTTCTTTCCTGTGTTACCTCTCTACGTAAAAGAGCATCCCCTCATTCGAGGGAACAGAAATCTTTCTATCTCCTTTTTCACCCCTTCCTCACCAGGTTTCACTTAAGGTTTCTCTGCCCCAGAAATCCTTGGCAAAATCAAATCCCAAAGGGAAACTGCTAAATTTTGCAGACTTCCTGAGCCTACTGCCCTTCTGCACTGCAGTGAGGTGGTAGCAGCCCCGTACTGGGCTCTGGGCCTATCCAGCCAGGAGTCATCTCTGCTGCTGTTAACAGTTATAAGAATTGGGTGGTATTTAACTATTTTTTAAAAAGGGGTTTCAAAATATAATTTTGCAAAGAAATTCTGTAGTTCAGTATCAAAGGGCCTGGAATTAAGGGAATATTACAGAAGGGACAATTTCTCAAGAGGTAATAAGTCCAGGATACTTATAATTCATTTTACTGGACTGGCTAAAGACAGGGGTGAGATTTGAGCAATTGTCTGGAAACTAATGTCTAAATTTTAGCTCCAGAGATAATGCAAGTTACATATAGTCCTGGGGATAAACTTCTAGAACTTACCTGTGAACATAAGCAGGGAGCCCAGAACCACCAATCATGACTCTAAAGGAAAACATGAAACAGGTTTAAAAATGTATTTAAAGTTCATTGGAACAGAAAGTAGATTGGTAGTTGCCAGGGCTAGAGAAAAGGGCCATGGGGATAGGATTTTATTGTGGAATGATGGAAATGTTTTGGAAGTAGATAGAGGTGGTAGCTACACAACATTGTGAATGTACTAAATGCCACTGAATTGTTTACTTTAAAATGATTAATCTTATGTCACATAAATCTCACCTCAATTTAAAAAATCCATTGATAGAGAATTTATGAAACTATCAGAAAAATAAAATTACAAAGTCTCCCATACCTTCTGCTCCAGCTGAGACCATTATGTACAGCCACCTGGGTCAACCCAGTTAGAAGGAATTCCATTAGGACAACATTAGCCAGATCTAATAAGAGTAGTATTGATTTCAAAACAGAGTCTGGAGAAAAAGCCAGAAATCTCCTCGGATATAAGCAAAAGAAAGAATAGCTAGAAATGTTGCTTGCTTATAAGCAACAATCACTGATTTCCAGCTAACTTTATTTTTATTATTATCAGAAATCTCTAAGGTCCTTAAAAGCATCTAAATCATAAGAATACATTTTTTTTTAAAGCCAAATAAGTTGGTATACCTGAAAGCACAGTACTAATTTAAAATGGAAATAACTGAGGGGGAGGGGAGGAGCTTTGCAGGATCTTAAAATAGAGCTCCAATGTGCAATTTTATTTTTCCTTATAGAATATATGTTACTGGCTTTGCTGCATGTTCAAATTTCATGTACAGGTTAGACTGATGTCTTTGTTATTTTCAAATATCTCACATGGGTACGCCATTTGCAAATGGGGTGAGTGCTCCTGAATCCAGCCAAACAAAGGACTGTTTTTATTACATTACCAACCCCTGCTGCATGCACTTAAAGGGTGAAAAGAATGGTTACTGTGTAGATCAAGGGCTTCTGTCCTCCTCTATCAATTTCCTAGATGATTTGATTGCCCTCACATTTTATGCTATTTCACAAGCTTACTAGGTGAGGGGAGGGAAATTGCTAAAATTTATAAATTCTTTCTTACAGTCCCTTGAAACACACACACACACATACACACACACACACCAGGACTGTAATAAAATGGAGTGAGTCACACCACAGATATTTAAAGATTTATGTTTCTTCAATGCTTCAGTAATTCTGAATAAAACAAAATAGAAAAAGCTCAGGCTACAAAGAATAATGAAGATTGACCTTGGAAGGGTCTCCAGCCTCACTTTCTCATTGATTAATTACTGTAGGTCACCACATGGCTACTCTCTCCCCTGATGAGGTCTCTGTGCTGAGATATTTCATTCTGGTTCTATCATACGCTCCTAGGGGTTATAGAATGCTCAGCAGAGTGTAACCAAAATCATTAGCATAAGGGTGGGAATTTTCGTATACAATCAGTAGCAGGTCTAGTTAACTGCTGATTATTGCACTGGACAAAAAAACATTTTTCCCTAAAAGTGCTTATTAAAACAAATTTAACTCAGGTTCATCTGCTATGCCGTAAGTATGAATAAATGAGAGGGGTAACTTGCATCCCCCATGATTTCCTGGCATAAGGATTCATACATGACATATAGATTTCCTGATGTCCTTAGGGCTAGATAATCTTTTTATCTTAAGCCAGACATGAGCTTAACAAAAGGAACTCCTTTCTGGTAACTGAAACTTTCCATGGACTAACCTAGTCTGAGAAGTAGAAATACCAGAGCTAAGATTAGATGTAGGGTGAAAGCAGAATTCAGATCTGACTCCAGAGTCTATATCCCCACCCTTTTCTCAGTTATTAATAGGAGGTGGATAGAGAAAATATGTAACAAAGAAGGAAAAAAACAGATGGTTTAAAATCAATCTTTTAATATTAACAGACCTACTTATTCATTAGAAACTAACTCTGCAAAGTAAGAAGTGACCACATAAGGACCATATATGAATTTGAAAACAGGCTAAAGCCAGACACTGTGCTGAATGCTTTACATAGTCAGTAATTCTTATAACAAGTCTTTGAGTACCATTGTCCCCATTTACAGTTAAAGAAAACTAAAGCTCAGAGAAGTTACATAACATGTTCAAGATCATATAGTTTGCAAATAGCAAAGCTGAAAGTCAAAGCTATGCAGTCTGACTTCACAATTCATATCCTTAACCACTGTGCATACTGCCCCTGTGTCTTTTTTTGGGGAAAAAAAAGATCTGTTCCTGGTAAACTTTGTCTTCTTTATCTTTTAATTTAAAGTTTTATTCAACCAGCTTTTCTCTTGAGAAAACATTTTCTTAGAAATACTGGAAGACAAAAAACTTTTCTCACTTAAATGAATATAGTATCATAATAATAACCTCTGTAAAACCACAGACACCATCAAAAGGAAATCAAAATAAGGTAAAGATCAAACCACAATATCCATTCCATGTAAGTAAATACTTGGCAACCTTTCAGAAGATCAATATGGCGTTTCATTTGTGTATGGACTATTAATCTCAATAGGTATTAACTTTAGATTTCATCAGCCCAGTTTTGAAGAGAGGCCAATAATCAAACTCACATACACAACAACATATTAAAGGTCAAAAATGAGTACTTACCCTTTGGTTATGATCTACTGAAGACAGCAAAGGTTAACACTAGGAACCAGTATCTGTTGAATTTTCTGTTGCTAGGGCTTTCCAAGATAAAACACACCACAGAGGTTGCAACTATTAAAACTTTAAAGGGGAAACATTTTTTAAATTAGTCACACGTCTAATAAGCAATTATGACCTGGTCATCCTTCAAGAATATTCATCCTCGATCAAACCACCAAGTATATACTTTGGGCAGGCTGAATAGGACATGTAAACTCGTGAGTAGCATTACTTTCAAGAATCCAAAGTCAGAGCTGCTGTAGGAGAGTCACTATGTGAGTGTGTGCAAGGTCTGTGTTAACTTGGAGTCCAGAGGAGGGATCATCATGGATAAGAATGTATCTGACTCAATCAGAAGGGAAGAGCAATGAGTGGAAGCAGTGGGGAAGCTCAGTGAAGCCCAAGGTCAGAGGAAATGACTTGGGTCAATACTAGAGAGAAAAGATTGGGATGGCATCTGGGGAGGAACTGAGATATTGGCCAAGCACACGTTCTGCCAAACTACAACTACCACAGACTAGCAGCCCTCTGGGCATCTTTGCTCAGAGAGGACTTAAGCAAAAACAAAGGGATCTGCAAAGCTGTGCCAATCAAACAAATCTTTCTCTAGCCATTGATGTTAGGCTCTGGAATCTGTACTTCATATAGTCCTATTTGTGGAGATTTGGGCATTTAGTTTTATTTCTGCTTATGTTCCTAGCAAAAATTCCTCTTGGAAAACATTTGACCCTATCTCAGCTAAACTAAATACATGGGGCTGGTGGGGGCAGTAAGGCTAACTCAAGGCAACAAGACAGGGCATTTGTTTGTTCTTGCCGCGTCTAAGTCTTTGACCCTCTGGTTATCTGAAGATAGCTACCATTGCCTCTCACCGCTGCTTTTTGCTTCTCCAAGATAGACAGAAGCAGTTGCTCGATGCTTACTCTTGTTCTGTCTCTCCCTGTCTGTTCCCTATCCCACTGCCTTCCCTTCTGTCAGTATCTTTGAGGTATGCTACCCAGAACTGACCACAAGATGCATTAGAGATTAGAAGTATTAACTATCTTGATCTGAAACTATTTCTTTTGATGTAGCCCAAGGTCACACTGGTTTTGGAAGCACAGATTTGTAAACCAGTCAATCAGCATTCTTACTTAGTTTACTGCCTGGTGGTAACAAAAGGCCAAATAGAAATAACCAGATACAAATTCATTCTTGGGGTTCTTGGGGGTCAAGCCCAGGAGGGAAGGAAAAAAAAAGGAAGGGTGACGTTCTTTGTGACTCTTACAGTATTTGCCAGTATCTGCCCTTTGTTAAGATTCTGAGAGACATATGTAACCCACAGGCTGTGATTTCCTTGAAGGTAGATCACCCTCCTTTAATTTTAATCTTGTTGTCCACACAATGTGTAACAAGGGATGTTCTTTTGACTTGTTCACTGCAGAAATGTTTACCAAATAATTAGTTAATATTCTACTTTAAAAAAATAAGTGCTTTCCCATATTACTATAAATCATAAATTTTAAGCCCTTGGAATATCCTGTCTTTGTATGCCTGAGTCCTTGCGCTGCAGCAAATTGTTCATGCTGACAATGTGATTTATGGTAAAGGCCCATTTTTGTACCCCTGGGGCTCAGGGACATGTTATATCAGTTTGACTGCTGAGTAGGTGCTGGGGTCTCAATAGCTGAGTCAAACACATGGGCACGCAGTGCCCATGTGACTGATTCCCAGTAAAAACTCTGGACACTAGCACTCAGGTGTGCTTCCCCGGTTGGCAACACTTCACATATGCCACATGCCATTGCTGGGAGAATTAAACACTGTTCCTGCATCTCTATGGGGAGAAGACAAATGGAAGCTCCTGGCTGGTGTCTCCTGGACCCTACCCTATTCATCTCTTCCCACTGCTGATTTTAATTTGTATCTTGTCATGGTAATAAACTGTAACCACAAGTATAATAGATTTCTGGATCCCATGAGTCCTTCTTCTGAACCATTAAAACTGAGGGTTGTCTTGAAGATCCCTGGTATGTTAACATGAGACAAGAATAAAAGTAGTAAGTAATTTGTGCAAGAAACATTGAAGAGGCAATGAACTCCATAGTTGCTATTCTGTCCATTGTCAAATAAAGGCATCTAGTATAGTCAGTGAAGGTAAAGATGTTTATAACATATCTGATGGCACAGTTAAACACTGATTCTGATACCTTGTCTCTTAAAGAGTTTTGGTTACTTTTAAAAAATCTATCATAAACACGAACATTTTTCCAAAATAGGTTAAATTTTTATTAAAAAATTGTATTAAATGTTAGAAGAGATTTATACTCCACAAATTCTTTATAAAACAATTGCCAATCTTTATCCAATTGTAATTGCTTTTATGCAGACTTGAAAATTTTGCAGTGAAATAAGGTCTATAAAATATTTCTTTTAGAAAGCATCACAACGCTAATTTTAGGCAAATAATGTTTAAAAGTGAAATCTTTGCATGCAAGTGAGTGAGCTCTCAAACACCCGTATTCTTTATCCCAGTGACAAAGTAATGGGAAAATAATCATTAAGCTGACTTACGGAGAAAACAATGAACATAGAACAAGTATTCTGTAAACTTCTCAAAGTTTTAAATTACTTTCAAAAGCAGTGCCATTACAAGTTACTGACAAACACTATGTACTTAAAATGAATGTTAATTAACAGTCAAAGAATCAAATATTGTTGCAAAGAGGCACCCTTCATTGTAAGATATGTTAAAGAAGTCTTTTACTACATTGAAGGCTTATGGTACGGGCCATAAACCCCACAGGAGACAGTCTCTTCACACAGAAAAATTATAATTCATCCCTTTTAGAAGTGAATAACAACTCTTTAGTAGTGTTGCTGGTTGAAAAACCAAACCAAACCAAACAAACAAAAAAAAAAACAATTTCAAAATATGATGGCGACATACAAAAGTGGCCCATAGTTTTGGTCTTGGTCTCAGAGGTACATTCTGTAATTTAACAAAGACTGGTTTTAAATCTTCAATTCAAAAGCTCATTTCTTTACCAAAAGGATGACTGCCCAACTGGTGCCATTCCAGAGAGCATACTCCTACCCAGGAACTTGAAAGGGGTATGGCTCAATGAAGACAAAAACAGTAACCAATTAACCTCAAAGATTAGGAAACAAAATCAATGTCAAAGTATTTAAAATCACAGAGAATTTAAAAATTCAATGCTTTAAAATTTTCCCCCTGAGCTGCAGATGCTTTTTATAGATAGTCTCTAGTAAAACAGATGCATTCTATCATTCCAAGTTGTACTTATAAATGCTATGATTCTTGGTGCTGAAAATAGATAAGTTATGTCTTGAACAGCACAAAGGGATAGCAATTACACGTTTCGCGGAAATCTTTGGTGAGATGCAGTCCTGCAGAAGCCTCCTTGTTTTGTTTCCCTCCCATCATAATCCTAGAATCTTCAAGTAATTTTCAAAGGAGAAACCACAAGACCATAATGAAGAACCAGCAGACCATCCTGAAAAGTAAAACAAAAAAGAGTGTTTCGCAGTTATTTGAAAACCCATGTAAATGATCAAGTCAAAGATAGTTTATTTTTTATAACCCAACACAAACGTGAAACTCTTTGATTTAAAGAGAATAAAAGGTCTCAGATAAATAAACTTGCCTATTTACTCACCTCATCACCAATCACTCGCTGTCAATGTGCCTTTTTAATGACCCTCAGAAGAAAATTCTGAAACTACCAGGTATCCATAGTTAGCCAGGACTGTTACAGCTAAACAGTTCTCCAAAAAGAACTAAAAAAGATACACCATTCCTTCTGCACAGACTACTTAATGTATCATCCAAGCATTGGGCTTCTCTAAAAAAAGATTCAATTATCATAAAGTAAATGGATCTGCTAAGAAATCAAATGCTTATTTCCTACATAAATACAGCTCACTACTAAAATAAGTGAGAAAATGTTGGAACTCTTACCCATCTAATGTCATATATTTTACTTCCTCCGCGAAGACTGTTCAATACAATTTACCCTTTCTTTGATATCCAGAGTCATCATCATGAACAGTAACTATACCGTGCTGTAACACAGTGATGGCCTCTGGGGTTGTTGGGCAACTTAACCATTAGACTTTAGACTAAATGACTCCAGATACCATGTTTCTGAGTCTTTTTATGTCTCCTCTCTTGATATCAGGTCTTAATTCTTTGTGCTCTCACCGAGGCTGCATCTAGCATGCAATCTACCCTTTTAAGGTGCTATTTCTAATCTACCATAAACCGGAACACTAACTTAAAAGGAAGACTCATTGGGAAGTGTGCCATGGGCAATGGGCCTACCTGGAGCAACATACAGAGAGAGTGGTGGCAATGCATGCCTTCCATTTACAACCCTGCTCTAGCTATTACTCTTTCATCTTTCCTAAGCTTTTTCATGGCTCCACTTCCTCATTCCTCATTCACTACTCAACTCATTGCAATCTGGCTTCTGTTACTGTCAACTGCAGCAGAAACTCACCAGAATTCTAGGAAGGGGTTCACAAATTCAAATGCCCACAAAGGCTAGAAAAGTAATATAAATGAATATATGAGTTAGGTATGTGAGTCAATAGGGAATGTTGAGACCAGTGGTAAACCAGAGAGCAGATGCTTAGCTAAAGGAACTTAAACTTAAAAATATTTAAAACACAGAATAAGTCAAATAAAGCAGAATCCCATACCATGTTTGGCCCATGGACCATAAGATCTGATCTAGACTAATTAGTCTAATCAATGTAAATGAATTTGTATTCTAACACAAATAGAAAGATTCTATTAACATTTTAACATGAATACAAAATACATTTTACATAATGTGAATTTTTTGCATATAGTTATGTTTCAGAATTACAAGCTGTTTCAAAATCTCAAAGCAACTTCAATACATGCATAAAATCATATTCTATGAAATAATACTTTGTAATTCAAATTTATATCTACATGTCTATTATGTTTATATTCTATATAAAAATATAGGAATATATAACTATTATATATATTTTATATTTAGATGTCTCTATTTATGGTCTTCTTAAACTATCCACCAGAGTGAGTTTTCTAAAAGGTAAGTCAGATTATGTCACTTCTGTCCCTGGCTCAAATCTCTCCAATCAATAGTTTTCCACTTTACTCTATTAAAATCCAAAATTCATACTTTGGCCTTTAAAGTCCTACATAGTTTTATTCCAACTGCTCAGATCTCAGCTCCTACCAATCTCTCCCTCACTTGCCACATCATAGTCTTCCCACTGCGGAGATAATGTTATTCATTTAGCTAAGAGGTCCTGAGATTCCATGACACTTAAAATTGTTATCAATGAGGACTTTAATTGTATTATAGGCTATTTAAGTTCTGGGACTTGCTCATCTCTGAATCTCCCCATCTGTCTAGAATAGTGCTCTGTAAATATTTTTTGAATTGAAGTCATATTTCTACCCACTCCACTAACTTTGGAGTTTTACTCCTAGATTTTTACATTTCTAATCAAGCTTTTTCCGGAAAACTTACCCATTTTATTGATGCATTGCTATTGCTCTACATTTTACCATATTATGTAGAAAATACTGAAAATACAAGCTACTTTGTAAAACCAAAGACAAATATTGAATCCAAAGATAAACTATGTTTTACACAATGGACCCTTTTCCCCTAGTTAGTATTAAGTTTTAGATATCTATTTCTTTTGTTAAAATGATTATTTTACATACTCCCTAAGTACATCTGCATTACAAACATAGCTCAGTAATTCTCAGAAACTGTTTCTAGAGGCTTGTTGTAAAAGGAGGCGCACAACCAGAAAAGGGAGAAAGCAAAAAAAGTTTAAAATGCACACAATAACTAGCATATCAAATACATTTAACAAAGTTGGAATCCCATTGCAATATCAAGAATTCAAAGCAGAAATACTAACATTACATACAATGTGCATAAAATGTACTGCTACATGTAGTAAGATTATTTTTCAAGCTGAATCAAAACCACACATATAAATAGCACAAACAACCATGTAGACCTGCTGCACCACCCATCAATTTAAAAAAAAGAAAATCGAAATAGGAAGCAGGCTTGGGTTATTCCTCTCACTGAGAGGCAATTTCATATCCTATCCTAAAACAAACCATCCTAACCAGCGGGTGTTTGCCTAATAATGCTGAATGAAACACACATTACTGTGCTTAATGAAGCTTAATTTTTAAAAAGGCAATCATTTTCTAAGATTTCTGAAGTTTGATTTTGCAAAAATTTTAGGAAATATTTCATATGCCTCTAAATACACTTTACTTAGCTAAGAAATAGTTTTGCTTTAATGTTTTATGAAGAATCTTTTGAATTATTTATTACTAAAATGTAGACAATTGGTATGGTGCTATATTTCTAAAAACATGTAAGAAAATCAAATAATCACCTGAAAAAGTATTCAGCTACCCCTCTATTAAGAGCCTGAGCTTTAAGTTCAATTTTTTCAATAGGTGAATCTTGATTCTACTACTAACTAGCCAAGTGATCTTGGGCAAATTACTTAATCCCTATATACCAGTTTCCTCATCTATAAGATCCACCAATGGATTTTAGAATTAAAGGGCAAAGTTTCAGGAGAAACAGGATGTCTGCATAGTTTTAAAGTATCTCTTTCCCACAAGATATTTACTAATTACAAAGAGAAACATATACCAGTAGGAAGACATATTGACAACATGTATCCTCTGATATGATACTCTGAGAAGGGCACATCACTTTTGTGGCATTCTTGGCAAAAATGCATAACCTCAATCTAGTCATAAGAAAACATCTGACAAACCCACACTGAGGGTGCTCTTCAAAAGTATCAAAGTCATGAAAAACAAGGAAGGACGAGGGTAGAGGGAGAAGACACGGAGACATGACAAGTAAATACAACGTGGAATCCCAGATTTGGATCCTGGGACAGAAAAAAGACAAAAGTGGGAAAACTGGCAAAATCCAAATGTCTGCAGTTTTTATTAACAGTATTACAGTAATGCTAATTTCTTAGTTTTGATGCTTGCACTATGGTTACGAAAGAAGTTGATATTAAAGGATGTTGGGTAATATTTATATAGGAACTCTCAGCACTATTTTTGTAAGTTTTCCCTTAAGTCTTAAATTATTTCAAAATAATACTTAGAAAAGAAAAAAGGGGATAATTGTTCTTATCTTTTAAGATTGCTGTGAGCCTTACATAAGTAACATATGTTCTTCTACACCTAGAATATAGTATGTTGGATACAGTTAGAGCTCAAGAAATGTTAATTATTATTACACTGTCTTTCTTCTAGCTCCAAGAAATTTCATATATGTGTTGTTTCTCAGTTAACCTGGCAGGCTTATCAATGGATTTCCCTTTTTCTTTTCACTTTCCAACCGAAATAGCTTGAAGACTTTTTTTTTTAATGGATGTACTGGGGATTGAATTCACGACCATGTGCATGCTAAGCATGCACTCTACCATTGAGCTATCCCCTCACTTCCGAAGACTTTTTTTCAGTAAGTTCTAACATCATCTTATTCTATCACTAAGTTGGCTGTATTGCAAAGACAGTTTATATTTCAGGCTTCTTCATGTCATTTTTGGAAATAAGAGAGATGTTTCTCAATGGAAAAGCCAGTCTCTTTTACAAAGAAACAAAAAGGTGACTAAGTCCCCTCTCTTCTTTTTAAAAACACACATAAAATACAAGTTAGTAATAATAGCCATTTAAAAAAAATGATGGTCTAATCATTTTATTGCCAATTATCTTTACTATCCTGGACAAACTATTATCACAACGTAAGTATGCCTATAACTGAAAGATAATTATAACCTATAATATCACAGTAAAATAATTAGTCTTAGAGCATTCTTCCAATACTCAATTAGATATGTTTTATTAACAAAATAATCAAAACTTGTGATTTCTTTAAAAACTCTAAATATCATTAAAAAACAGTTATGAAAAACTGTAAATGACTGTGAAAGCACTACTAGTATTAATTTGGGTTCCAATAAAATGTTAATGAGTAAGTGAATATTTAAGTATGGAATCCTCAAATAATGAGGATCAGCTGTATATTCTTTTGGGCCTTGATGCTTTTGCTGTTATGCCTGTGAGATTCATCCATGTTGCTGCATATGATAGCTGTATTTAATTGCATGCACATGCCACAATTTTTCACTCATTCTTCGTTGGATTTCGAGTTGCTTCCAGTTTGTGGCTATTATGAATAAAATTACTATAACCCTTCTTGTACATGTCTTATAGCAGACATATCATTCATTTCTATTGGGTGTATATGAAGGAATAGAATTGCTGGGTTATAGAGTATATATACACATGGTTTTAGTTGATGCTAACACCTGAGTTCCACAGTAATTGAATCAGTTCGCACTTCCACTACCAATGTATATAAATTCTAGTTGCTCCACATTCTCATAAGCACTTACATTGTGAGTCTTAATTTTGGCCAATTCTTTTGCATTTTGCTGGGTCATCTTAGCCAAATTGAAACTATATTTCCGGGAATTCTCTTCTCTCTTGGGTTAGTCAATTATTTAGCCAATAGAGATTTGCACAAGACTTGGAAAGTGGAAGGAAGCAGAAGCCATTACTCTCAGAAGGTCCGTATAGGGTACCACTTGCCCCTCTAGCTTATGCATTGTTGCTGTGGCTCACATTGTTGGCATAGGGCAGCAGCCAGGCCTGCAACTCCTCCTGCCCCATCAGAGCTCCATCTTCAGCTTCTCTGAGTTCCAGGCCAGCACCATGGCAAAGACTGCTAGCTTTGTCTACAGATCACCCACATCATTGAGGACAGAGGTGATGAGACACAGATTCCAGTTTCTCCTTCTAGTTTCCAGTTTATTCTCACTCTTCCCCACTTTATGTCCATCTTTTCTTCCAACTGCTGCCCTTCTGGTTTACAATGACTACTGTAACTACCACCAGATGCAGGCAATTATCTTTCCATACACTTCTTTACCAATCCCTACAATTATTTAAGGGGTAATCCCTTATTCCATAACATTCATATTGGTTATATTTCCCAGACGGAATCCTAGTAGTTAAAACTTGTGAGTCCAGGGAAAGAGTAGATGGATGTTTACTGTACTATTCTTATGACTTTCCTGCAGGTTTAAAATTTTTGAAAGTACAAAGATTACATTAACAAATACCTCTGTAACCAGTACTTAGTTTTATTGAGTATTAACATTTTGCCTTGTTTGTTTCAAATCTCTTTTTAGAATGATAAAAATTTAACATCTTCTTATCTATAACAGCAAAATGTTGTCACTCATTAAATCTGACTGGTGGGTACAAGGATATCTGTAGCAAACTAGCAAAAAGAAAATCAAACAAAAAAATGAAATAAAATTCTCCACAATAAACTATAGTCAATAAGGCTGCAGAAATTTCAGCCATAGTTCTTTATAGATTGTTGGTAAAGCAGTGCCACAAAAATCACAGGAAAATACAGTGATTCTTTGTTTCCTGTCAAACTAAACATAAGTCCTCCCTATGATCCAGTAATTCCACTCCTAGACATTTATCCAAAATAAATGAAAACATATGTTCTCAAAAAAAAAAACTGTTTATAAAAGAAAATGAGAGGGAAGAGGAGGAAAAAACTTGTGTAAGAATGTTCACAGCTAAACCATAATGAAAAAAGAATATGAAAAACAATGTATCTATGCACAACTGAGTCACTATGCTGTACACCAGAAACTGACACAACACTGTAAATAACTATACTTTAATAAAAAAATTAAAAATCCACTAATTTTTAGAAAATAAAAGAATGTTCGTAGCTGCTTTAATTATATTAGCCTCAAACTGGGAAGAGCTGAAGTGTCCATGGATGGCAGAATGGATTCAATATGGCATATTGTATAATGAGATACTATGCAGCAATAAAAAGGAACAACTACTGCTACATGCAACTACATGGATGAATTTCAAAATGTATGCTAAGTGAAAGATGCCAGACACAAAAAGAGTACATGTTCTTTGGTTCCATATTTATATGACATTCAAGAATAAACAAAACTAATCTGTGGTAAACATAGGTATAAATATTTATAACCTTGGGTTAGGCAATGGTTTCTTAGATATGACACCAAAAGCACAAAAGGGAACAAAAGGAAAAACAGATAAATTGGACTTAATTAAAATTAAAAACTTGTGTTTCAAAGATCACCATGAAGAAAGTGAAAAGACAACCCACTGAATGGGAGAAAACTTTTATAAATTATATGTCTGATAAGGGACTAGTATCTAGAATATATGAAGAACTCCTACAACTCAATAATAAAAGGCCAAAAAAAATCTAATTTTTAAAAATGGAGAGAGGATCTGAATAGCTATTTCTCTAAAAGATATACAAATGGCCAATAAACACATGAAAAGATGCTCAATGTGATTAGTCATCAGGGAAATGAAATCAAAACCACAATGAGATACCAATGAACACCCAGTAGAATGGCCATCACCAAAAGATAGATAATAAATAAGTGTTGGCAAGGATGTAGAGAAATTGGAACCCTTTACACTGCTGGTGGGAATATAAAATGGCAAAGTTGCACTGGAATCAATCTAGTGGTTCCTCAAATAGTTAAATATAGTTACCATATGACCTAGCAGTTCTGTTCCTAGGTTTATATTCAATGGAAATAAAAACATGTCCATACAAAAAGCTGTAGATTTATATTCACAGCAGCACCAATCATATTAACCAAAAAATGGAAACAACCCAAATACCCATCAACTGATCAATGCTTAAGTAAAATATTGTACATCCATATAATGGTATATTATACAGACATGAAAAGAAACAAAGTACTGATACATACTACAATACAGATGAACCTTGAAAACATTATGCTAAGTAAAAGAAGCCAGTCACAAAATACCGTACAATGTATGATTCCATTTCTATGAAATGTCCCAAGCAGATAAATCCACAGAGACAAAAAATAGCACAGTGGTTGACAAAGGCTGGGTAACTGGGGTTATATGGGGAGTGAGCACCGAGTATGGAGTTTCTTTTTGCTATGATAATGTTCTAAAATTGATCGTGGTGATAGTTTCAGAACTCTTTGTAAATACAACAAAAACCACTGAATTGTATACTTTAAATGGGTAAGTTGTATGGTATGTTACTTAAAAACAAAATAAAACAAACAAAAACAGGAAAACATTTATCTATGATGAGAAAAAAACCAGAACAGTGTTTGCCTCAGTCTTGGGAAGAGTGATTGACTGGGAAGGGGCATGGGAGAACTCTGAGGGTGATGGTAATGTTCTAAATTTCAAGAAGGGTTCTGAATTAAATAGGTATATGCATTTGTCAAAACTCAGGCATTTCATTATATGTCAATTAAAACACATATGTATGTATGCAGATAAGAGTGTGTGTGTTTCTGTGTAGTTGTTCATTGAGCATAGGCAATTATGGCAAAACAAAGATTAATATTTCTAACAAGTTAAAAAATTGTTAAGCTGAGAGCTGCTCATCAAATCTTTATTAGTAACTTTATAAGCTTCTCAGAGACATACAGCTCTTAAAACAATTTCTCACTCTAGGTTCAGTGATATGTTAGAATATGTGGATCTTGCTTTTCTCTTCATTAAAATAGTATATCCCATCTTGCTTTTCATTTATCCTAACTAGACTTCACATTATAGGCTAATTAAAGTATCAAAACAGTTACCATGGCTTCTTACCTATTGCACAAGAAATGGTATGTAAATCTCTACAGCCTAATGAGTATCTGCAAATTTTTCTTAAAGAAATGTCCTAGCAGACATATTTGTCCAGGAATCTTCAAAGCTCCACTACAGTACTGGACAGAGGAAAAAGAGCAAGGCCTCCAGAATCAAACTGCCTGGCATTTGAGCCCTGATTCACCCACTAACTCACCATGGGTAAGTTATGTGTCTTTTCTGGACCTTGGTTTCCATATCTTTAAAAAGGAGGATAAAAGAATATCTACCTCACACAACACTGTAAAATGATTATAAATCAATAAAAAATGTTTAAAAAAAAATCCCAATAATCCTAAAAAAAAAAAAAAAAAGAATATCTACCTCATAGAATTGTAAGAAGTAAGAGAGCTAATCCACACAAATCACTTAGAAAAGTGCCTGACACACAGTAGTCATTCAATAAATATTAACTTTATTACTTATAGTTCAGGTAATTTTAAGAAAGTTATAGAATATTTATTAAAAATTTATTGATAACATGGAACTTCTTTCTTTCACTGAATAACGTACCTGTTAGGCATAGATATCCTGAAGTCTAAGACCTACCTGCATTGCTGCATCACCTATTGCACGTCGAATTTCCCTTAGAGTTTGATATCGCTCCAACAGGTGATCACCACAGATGATATCTACCTACAGGCAAACAACAGTATAAGATTGCTTTCCCGCTTCAAAAAAACCGTATGAAGAAATTAAGAAAAATCAACATAATTATTTCTAGACTAGATTTTGCTTTTTAGACTGATTAAACATTCTCAAGAAAGATTTTAGAAACTTAAGTAAAATAAAAAGAGCATTAGAGGACATTGCAGAAAAACAAAACACTAAAGCAGATATTCAAAAAATGATTTCCTTGAATCTGTGAGAACAAGTTAAATTACATTTGATATATTCATCATAAGAAGAAAAGGAAAGTATATATATTTTAAAGTTCCATGATATAATGATTAAAAGGGTATATAATGCTTAAAAAGGCAATCTTTAGTTATGTGAATAATTTTTCTTATCAAGGAATATCTCATTTTCCAACAGTGGAAAGTCTAACACTGACATAAATTACACAGTAAGGGAACTGTTTTATGGATGGAACAACCTTAACAAGGTCTTTTCAGCCCTTTAGGAATGTCAAAGCTCTAAGATAAATCTACTTTTATGTAAGATTCTCTAGAAAGAATGATATGGTAGTATAGTTATATACTTTAGTAATATGATTCTAGAATACTTACTTGCTAAGATAGTAATGCAAATCCTTATTTCTTCTCTTTCACTGAATACTCCTTTTCCATTACCTTAAAATGGGATCAGGTCCTCAACATCTTATTAATATATATCACTTAACTGGCTCCATCTCCTAACGTCCCTATTTCGTTTATAGCATGAAATTTATCCTTACTCTAAATAAGAGTATCACCGCTAACTCCTATTTCTCCTTTTCCTTTCTTCTCACAACCAATCAGTTACCAAGTCCTGTTGCTTCTTTCTTCATAATCTCTCTTAAATTCGTATCACTCTTTTAATTGCTGCCCTTAGGCTTAAATCACTGAAACCACCTCCTAACCAGAACTCGTTTCAAATTCTGTTTTACTCAAAACACTGCCAACATGTTAATCTCCCTAAAGCCTTTAGCATGGTTGAGTAAGAATAGTAAAAGCAATTGCATTTAACTGAGCTGCCACTATGTATACCACATGTTCCACTATGTAATTGACATATGTTATCTAACTTTCACATTCCTGTGAACTAGGTATTATAATTCCCATTTTACAGCTAGGGATACTAAAAGGTAAAGACAATAAATGTTCCTAAGGTCACAAAGCAAGTAAGTAGCAAAGCCCAGATCTGAACTCAGATCTGTCCCCAGGTCTATCTTTCCCTGAACATAAGTGTGTCAGGAGTTGGCAAACTTTCTGTAAAGGGTGAGATAATAAACATTTTAGGCTTTGAGGGTCATAGGATCACTGTCACATGTGCTCAATTCTGCCACTGTAGCATGAAAGCAGTCACAGTATGGCTGTTCCAATAAAACATCTCATTTATAAAAACAGATGGCAGGCTAGATTTGGCCCATGGGTTATAGTTTGTCAAGCCCTGCGTTATCTCATGATGCATAACCTTTAATTAGTAACAACTTTTGTACTTTATGCTTAACGGTTTTAAAGCTGGCAGAGCAATACTTGTTTGCAAAATGACTTGAAAGCAGATCTTTCATACAGAAATTACCTCCATGAAAAATTAAAGAATTTGGAAACTAACACTGTTTTTATTAAATATTCAACAACCCAGAGACCATCACTCTTAGTAGGCTTCACCACATGGTAAACATTTATGATTTGGTTACTACATTTTTTTTTCAACTTAATCTTAACCCCTAGAAGTTAACCATTTACTAACAATTTAATGTGTATGTTCCTAGGTGCTCTTTGTGCATGTAGGGTTTTTGTTTTCATTAAAACGGCATTATGCTACATATTTTGTTCTGCAACTTCTTAAAAAAAACAAACAAAAAAAACCCTTAATAGACCATGGACATTTTTTACAGCACATAGTAAGCTCTCTTTAATAGCTACGTACTGTCCCATTTTATGAATATATCATAAATTATACAGCCATTCCCCTGATAAACATTTAAATTGTGTCTGATTTTAACATGCTTATTTTTAAGTCATTTGACTGCAAATATTTCATAAATTAGTTCACTTAATTAGTTCATTCAGAGTCACATCTCTGAGGGTGCTGCAAACATGACCCACATATTTGGTAATTTGCTAGAAGGACTCACAGGACTCACCATGATCACAGCTACAATTTATTACAGCAACAGAGCAATGATACACAGTCAGATCAGTAAGGTAAAAAGATGAAGGTGGAATTTGGAGAAATCCATGCACAGGCTTTCTATGCTCTTCCCTCCCAATCCAGTAGGCAATACACCCACAATATTCCCTTCTCTAGCAGTGGGAATGTAGCCAGCTTGTGCAAAGTTTGTGCCCAGGGAAGTCCCTTTGAAGCTCAGAGTTTAGGGTTTTTACTGAGGGCTGGTCATGTTGGCATTCTCTACCAAGCAACCACCAAATTCAAGACTCCCAGAAGCAAAGCAGGTATTCATCATAGATCCATTGTTTGTACAGTCTAGGCACAGTGAAACACTCAATAGTTAGGGGATTTTCACATTAGTGCAGGAAACTTTTTGCAAGTCAAGTTCCCAGCTGCTAGGCAAGGGTCAACCTTGTAAGCCGGCCCTTCTAAAGGCAGCAGCCTCAGGTCTGCTTTGTTAACTCTTTTCTGCATAAACTTTCTTCCCTCTGGAGTATCAAGTCTTAGATATACAAAATTTCTGAATCTCAGAGCAAAAATCAGAATGTGAAGGTAGTCTTAAGGGAAGAAAAACCCTTATATTTTTAAAAGCAAGATCACACTAAAGCTTCCAAGAAAGGGTTTTTCACTGAATGAGCCAGTGCCGCCACACTCACTCCTCTTTGTTCATACTCTGGTTTTTTTGTTTCTGTTTTTGATAGAAAGTTCCTTTTTCTTTGTCTGTCTGGCGAAAAAAAAAAATCCATTCTTCAGATCCATTCTTTGACCGTCCGAAGTAAAATCATTTACCCTTATGCTCTTGTGCCATCATATCCTTTTGTCAGTCAGTTGTTTACTTCTATATCTTCCTCACACAACTCTGAGTCCCCTGAAGGGATGAATTTTTTGTCTCATCTTTGTACTAAGGTCTGGTACAAAGATGCTCCATTTAGTATCAATGCATAATAAATGAATGGTAGGGCTACACCATAGGAAACTCCACTATAAAAAGGAAGGAGCCAGAACTGGGGCTCTTGAAGCTCTTTAACAGTTTTCATAGCCTCAGCTTCTCTCTGACACCCACAGATGGTCATCAATGGCAGTAAGAAACAGTAAGTCAAATGTGATTAAACTGGGGGGTTGGAATCACTGTGTACCCATATTCAGTTAGCATTCATAATATCCACAACATCATAAAACAAACATGATTGCAAGAAATCCTAGAGACAGTTCTTTCTTCAGTATGCTAAAGGTAATCCCACAACTTCCCCCGTCTTTTTACACACATGGACTCTACCTGACAAGCTGGATCAAGACCCATTTTTCTTCTGAGGAATTTTTCTACATGCCCAATAGTTGCTTCTCCCGAAACTCGGACAAACTTCTTTTCCAATGGCTACAAAAGTGAACAACAACAAAAAAATCTATTTTCAGATTAAATATACATAAAATGTATAAACCTTAAAGAAAATTTTATAGCAAAGATGATTCAACAGATTTATTACAGAAAAGTTACTAAGAAATTTGAGTTAATTTACCTATCAAAGGAAAAAAAAAAGAATTTCTGCTCAGTTTCCCCTCTCTGAAGTGTCACCAATTTAATAGAAAAGCTTACTGATTTGTTTTAATACCTCGTTAAAAATAAAACTTAGAGTTAAACTTATTGACAGAATACCCATGATTAAATGTCTAAAGCAATCTGCTTTCTTCAACAAAAAACTGCAAAAAAAAAAAAAAAGACTAAAAAAGATAGAAGGGCTATAGATAAGACATGTATCAATCAATATATATATCTTATGTGGATCCCAATTTTTAAAACACTTAAGAAACAATTTTCATGAGACAATCTAGGAAATTTAAACAGTCAATAGTATATGGATATTTGGTTAAGGAAATTACTGTTAATTTTTTAAATTATACTATCATTATTATGTTTTTATAAAAACTCCTTATCTTTTAGAAACAAACTGAATTATCTGCTGATAAAATGACACAGTCTGAGATTTGCTTCAGTATTATATAGGAGGAGAAATGATGAAGACATAGACAAAATGAGATTGGACATGGTTTTATAATTATTGAAGTTAACTGATGTGTACATGGGCATTCATCTTACTAGCCTACTTTAGTATGAGTTTGAAAATTTCCATAATAAAAGGTCTTCTTTTTTTTTAAGTGGAAAATAAAAAGATTAACATCTAGATGTATATGGCTGGAATCTGATTCAATGGTCTGAGATGACAGGTAGAGAGATAATAGGATTTTAAAGTAGAAACCAATGCTTATTCAGCCACTCTCTCTGAGGTAATTTTAAGGATACTAGTATTAACACAAATGAAAAGCTGCAGAAATGAGAACTAAAAGGGTAATTTTTAGAAAAACTTGAACCATATGTTTCTAGCACTATCAGAGAGGGAACCCAGAATTGCTACTGAGGAGGTTGTTCCATATAACAGCACTCAGCTCTCTTATCTGTAGTTTGGTTTCTTAATACTGAGATATAATATGAAAAGTTATAACTACAACTCCATTATAAACACAGAATTAAAAGAAAAATGGTAAGATTGCCAACTTGCTAGCCAAGAAAGTACAAAAGACTGTTTCCGAAAAGTAAAAATAGTCTCAAAATGCAGAATAGGATGTTTCTGAAACAATACACTCATTACCTCTCACAGACACAAAGCCTGCAAATTAACATCTGTATCATTGGTTAACAATGAAAACTTAATGCCTCAAAACTATGAAAACAGTATAATAAACTCCTATATACCTATCATCCAGCTTTATCAACTCAAAGCCAAACTTGTTTTAAATATACTTCACACATTTCCTACTCCAACTACTTCCTGGTTCCCATTCTCCAGATTTGTTTTGAAGCAAACCCAAGACACACCAAATTTCATTTGTAAATACTTCAGTATGCATCTCTAAAAGATAAGAACTCTTTTTAAAAACATAATATATTATCATATATTAAAATTTGATATGGGGGGTGAGGAGTGAGTATAACTCAGTGGTAGAGCACATGCTTAGCATGCATGAGGTCCTAGGTTCAATCCCCAGCACGTCCACTAAAAAAAAAAAAAAAAGAAGAAGAAGAAGAAAAGAAATTTCTTGATATCAAAAATACATAGTAAATGTACAAATTTCACCAATTGTCTCAATTTTCTTACCTAGTAGAAGTGATTTTGCTTTTAGGGCTGTCATTACAGAGAGAATAAAAATAAAACAAAGATTCCACATACAAAAAATATAATAACTATTGATAGACTCAAGCTAAAATTCTAATTTATGCATATATTATTTTTATCAGATATATTTTTATATTCTCAAAATATATTATAAACAACGCTTCTATTCAAAGTTTCTATTGGATCTTGGCTTTTTTTTTTTAATGTAACAGCTTTATTGAGGTATAATTTACATATCATTAAATTCACCATTTTAAAGTGTACAATCCAATGGTTTTTAGTATATTTAGAGAGTTGTGCAACTACCACCATTATCTAATTTCAGAACATTTTCATCACCCAAAAAGAAACCTGTACCAATTAGCAGTCACTCCTAATTTCTCCTCTCCCCCAAGCATCTGGCAATCACTAATCTATATTCTGCTTCTATGCATTTGCCTATATTGGACATTTCATATAAACAGAATCATACAATATGTGATCTTTTGTGCCTGGCTTCTTTCACTTAACATGTTTTCAAGGTTTATCCATGTTGTACATGTATCAGTACTTTATTTCTTTTAATTGCCAAATAGTATTCCATTGTATGGGTATACAATACTTTTTAAATTAATCACCATAAATTTGGTATTTTACAACTTGGAAGAGGTTAAAAGTTACCAAATCTAACACTGCATTCCCTCCATCACACTGATCTCTGGGAGAAACCTATAATATACTTCACCCAGAGAAGTATCCATCTGTTCCTGTGCTTCAACTCAAGTCCTAAGCCACTGTTGTCACAAAACACTATGCCCAACCGGGTATAATTCACCCTAATTTTAGAATAGACTTTGACAAAGTCACTGAAAATCTAAACAGATCAAAGTCAACTATTTCCTTATGTATTTACAATCCCAGGTAACAATAAGGCTTGATTTGCCCCTTTTTAAAAAGTCACTTTTGTTGGGGAGGGTGTAACTCAGTGGTACAGCGTGTGCTTAGCATGCACAAAGTCCTGGGTTCAATCCCCAGTACCTCCACGAAGATAAAAACAAACAAACAAACAAACCTAATTACCTTCCCCCCAATTTTCTTTTTTTTTTTAAAAGTCACCTTTTCCTGAGTGACTCATTCTATAGGAGCAACACTGTGTACAATGGCACCTGTGATACTGAGGACTTTAAGACAACTCTGAACTTAAGTATGTTACAAAGGAGTTCATTCTTACCTCTAAAGTTTCAGTAAATGATTGAAGTAACAACTTAGGGCAGGTTAACTTGAACCAAAAATGTTACATGCAAATAAAATTTTAAGCTCGTATTTAACTCTAAATGCCAACTATGCAAAAAATGCTTTGAAAATTTTTTTTTAACCACCAAAATAACACAGTATTTGGTTTTAGTATTAAAAATCATTCATTTATTTTTCATTAGACCACAGTTCTGAATCAATAACAAATCCCTACTTAATAACTTTTTTATAAAGCTATTATAAGAGAGCACTATTGAATGTACTTCATATTTCAAAAAGTTTTATTTATAAAACACTTTTTACTGTAATTGATGAAAGTCTTCATGACTGCTAACGTGACTTAAATTTGTGCACTATAGGGTCCTCTTGTGAAGCAAATGAAAAATAAAAGTAAAATACCTTAAAATGTCCCGTGCCTTCATTAGCACTGAAAAAAGAAAGCAAAATTAATCAATATTTTAGACTATATGTTTAATTATATATCAGAGAAATAACATAAATATAAACACTTGAGGAACATCATTTTAATTTAAAACAGGGTCACCTAACCCTTTATGAAATAAACAGATGCAGTTAATTCTCATATCTGCCACCTAGTGGTAAAGCAAAGGCAGTTTTACCAAGTATTTTGTATTGTTTTGAGTACTTACCTACAGCAGTTAAAAGTATATTCTTACTAATTAGATTTCTCCACATCTAGCATTCTAACATTTTCCAGCTTAAAGTAAAACTTCTTTTTTATATCATAATTAATGTGGTTTTTCCTCTATAGTAACCTTTACAAGATAGAGTTCCTGCAAGCAAGCTCCTATATTTCCGGTTGTTTTACTTGCAGCAAAATCACCTGGGCATGATTTACTCAATTTGCCTTCCCCCTAGAAGTGCAGATTTTGATTAAATCAATTACTTTTATATCATGAGAAGACAAGGAACAAACTTTGTTGAACATCTACTAAGTACCAGGCATTATATTAGGTCTTTACATATTATGCATGTTTTTCATTCAGTCCTCACAGTAGCCCTGTAAATCAGGTTTTAGTCCCCATTCAACAGATGAGGAAAATCAGTCTCAGACAGGGTGAATAACTTGCTTAAGGTCACAGAGCTAGCAAGTAATAAAGCTGTACAAATCAAAGCCCTCTTTCTTCCCTTTCATGCTGTGAAGAATACACAAGACCACAATTAAAAAAAAAAGAGAGGGGAGTATATTCAGTATCTTGTAGTAACCTATAATGAGAAAGAATATGCAAAGGAATATATGTATGTATATGGACTGAAACATTATGCTGTACACCAGAAATTGATGCAACACTGTAAACTGACTGTACTTCAATAACAAAAGTTAAAAAAACCTACAACTGCATCATCTACAGAGTATTCTTATAATACAAACATAATAGAAGAGTACACTAAACTATAATATGTTATATTATAAACATGTATTTACAGAATATATAATAAACATATTTATGAAACAAATTTATATATACATATTATGTATAAATGTAAATCTAAGATTATAATATAAACTTAGAGAGTTATAAAATAAAATATCCTATTCTTTATTGCAAGAATTGTCTCTATAGAATCCATCATGTATGGGTATCTGGTTTCTGCTTGAATACCTAAAGAGATAGTTTAACTGACAAGCCAGAACATTCCATTTGTGGGCAACTTTATTTATAAATTGCTTGCTTGCACTAAATCAAATATGTTTCTCCCTGTAACTTATTCCTATTGGTCCTAGTTTGGTAATAGTTTAGACATGTTAGGAATACTATATGTTCATTCTTACAACAGTCCTGTGAGTTGCTATTATAATCCCCAATTTAGAAAGATTTCTCTCCCTTTCGGGGTCTTTAATATCAGTTAAGAACACAGGATAAATACATAAAGATAAATACAACACAGTACAAGATAGGTACTAAATAAATGATACAAGTAACCTAGAGCTACAAGAAGGAAGTGACTGAGAAGTCAAATAGTCATCGGTGACATAAAATAGAAAATCTAGATTTTCCAAGAAAGGCATTTTATTTTATTCTGCAAACTATGTAATTATTTTGAAAACTACAGCTTGATACAGGCCAACTCCATGATAACAGTCTGCTTAACAATGCAGCAGTATAATGGAATACAATATATGCTACAGTGTTTGAAAGAAGCAATTTACATAAATTAGGGAGATGTCCAACTACTTTACAGAACAATTTGGTAAAACCAAGTAAAGTTGAAGAGGAACATATCCCAAGACTTAGCAAATCTACACTCTCAGAGAACTATCTCACATATACACAAGGAGATATGTACACAATGTTTAAAGCAACACTGTTCACAATAGCAAAAAAACTGGAAATAAGAGTTCTACAGTACAAGAAAAGATAAATTATGGTATATTTATTTTAAGGGAATACCAGGGAATGGTGAAAATGAGTGAACTAGAGCTACACATATCAACATGATGAATCACACAATGCTGAGTGAAAAAGCAAGTGGGAAAACACAGTATGATACCATTTAAAGTTTTTAAGTGGGCAAAAGCAATTCTACATACTGTTTAGGAATAAATACACATGTGGTAAACATATAAAAAAATGCATGGGAATGATAATTATTACTTTTAGGAGAGTAGTTATTAACCTTTAAGGGAAGGGAGAATGAACAGGAAGAGGTAGCCAAGTGCCTTATGCCATATTAGCATGGTTTATTTCGAAAGCCAGGTGATAAGAGGTATAAATGGTTATTGTACTACTCTTTAGACCTTTTCCTAAGTCTTAAATATATTAATTTTTTTAAAGGATATCAGAAAAACTTGACGTTACCTGAGTTCAAGTTAATTTCATAACTGTTGGAACTTAAATTTTTTTTTAAAGTTTAGAGGTAGAGATTTAGGGTACTCACCCAATGAACTCTAGTAATAAAGACATGTCAAGTTCAGGTGGAATACGAAACACTGATTCTAAGACTTTCTTAGATCTTCCTTTGCTCGAAGGGACTGGCTGTGGAACAGCTATTTGATAGCCAAACAAAAAAGCTGAGTTAGAATAAAAGTTCCATGAATTGAGATCTTTGAAAAATAATTACACAGATTTAACTATGTTGACTATTTAAAAGATCATAAAGCACTCAGTCTCCCTTTCTTTAGTAACATCAGCTAATCTGTCAAATTCAGTGAATTTAGAGACAAGCCTGGGGACCGCTGTGCAGACATGTGTGGCTGGTTTATTGGGGCCACAGAGCTCAGCACAACACCAACATCAATTGTAGAAGCACTACTATGTGCCAGGGCTCATGCTCATGAGTTTACATGCACCATCTCTTTTAACCTTTATTATAATTCCATGACATAGGTTCTATTGCTATTTTTTTTTTAACTGTAAAGAAAATGAGATTACTGTTTAGTGAGATCAGGCAATTTGCCTGAAGTCACACCTTTAGTAAGTGGAAGAACGAGGATTTAAATCCAATCTATTTAACTTCCATACTACAGCATTACCATCATCATAAAAACTAATATTTGAGCAGTTACTATGTTCCAGGCACTGTTTTAAGTGCTTTGTATTACTCAATGTTACCTTACAACAATTTTATAAAGTGCTATCATTATCCCTGCCTTATAGAAGAGGAAACTGAGATGTTGAGTAATTTGCCAGTCATACAGCTAGTCAAGTTGCAGAGCCAGGGTCACACTCAGACAATTCTGCTCCAGAGCCTGCATTCTTTAATGCTTGCAAGTAATTAAATTGGATTACAGTAAATTATTAGCTTCAAAATCTTTCTCTCTTTGATCATAAAATAACCAGCTACCAGCAAAAAGAACCTCAAAGGGAGTAAATTTTATTAAGTTAGTATTCTTTAATCTATAAATACATTATGGTATACACCCAAACTTACCAGGTTTAGGTACTTCTAGACCTCTTTCTTTATAGAAATCATGCATTTGCTTTTTTTCTCCTAAAAAATGATAAAACACAGACTAAATTACACTTAAAATGTAACTCATAGAGTCAGCATTGATTCTGGGATTCACAACTATGTAATAAAATAAACTTACTTTCCTCTAGATTGATCACTAATTTGTACACTATGTCTTGTAACTGTCGGTCCAACCTAATAAAAGGAAAGGATGGAGAATGCCTCAGAATTCAGAAAAAATGCACTTGGTACAGAGTGAATGATGTTCTTTGTAAGTAACTGTTTTCTCTTAGAAGTGGATGTCTCCTTTCTCAGAGATGAGTTGCTTTTAGGTAGCACTCATGGTTCTCATCTCTGAGAACCTCAAGTAATTATAACTCTTGAGCAGTTTGCTAAATTGTTCCATGTGTACTAGTCCTATTCCCTTGATAAGAATGTGAGCTTGAGGGCAGAGACTGTGTTTTGAAATTCTGTCAACTGCAAAGCACTCTTCTAACAAGGTAGTAAAAACATAATAGCATTTGCTAAACAAATGAAAGTAATCTACTTTAATATTTTTCTTCCCTGAGGAAACTGAACATGAACTGAAAATTTGATTAATAAGCCACAATGACCTATGATAGTCAGGTTTTTCTAAAGAGGCCAGTTATTTCAAGTATTAGTTTTAAAAATAGAATTCCAGATATACAGAAAATGACAAGCCTAAGTAAGCCTCATTAACTTGAGTGATAGAATTAAAATTCTCAAGAAGAGGCCTGTGCCTCTTTTTTTTAAGTCCCCAGCAGATATCACAGTGCCTGGTACACAGTAAGTACTCTATTTGTATTTCTTTAAAGAATGTGTAGTTCCCTTTCTCGTCATTTTGAGATTGGTCAAGATTTTATTACCAACTACACAACTTCAAGCTTTCAGAAAAAGTATACTTAGAATATAAATTTTACTTATATAGTTTTCTTACCTTATGTTATAAAGAGGTTGTGTCTGATGTACCACTATGTTGCATTTTGGACATCTGTTGCTATAGTAAAAGTGTCTTACAATGCAGCTTTTACAAACTGTTGGAAAAAAATGTTTAAATTAGGATGCCTTCAAGACATTTCATAAATTGAATACATTATTCGAAAATGTGATGAACTATTTGCTTACATGTATGAAGACATTCTGTAATGGTAGTTGCATCTATTAAGTAACCTTTGCAAATGGAACACAAGATGTATGGGGTCAGCTCAGAGAGATTAATCAGGCGCTGCAAATGCAATGGAAACAGTTTTAAAACACAAGTCCTTGCCTTCTCAAATTCTTAAGCCATAATCCCCAAATTATATTATCAACAATGTATAGCTTACTTTGCAACATGGATACATGTTACAGTACCGCCAACCCTTCAAAATACTGCTCAAAGTTACACAATATAAACCAATGTTTCAAAAAGATCTCATTCTTTTGGATATACTGTATCTTGCCAGATCTTTTCATGACGGGCATCTTACTTTAGGAATTATTGCAAAATGGACAAACTTTCGGGATACTGGTGTTTAAAATATTAATTCCTGCTGGCTAGGATTATTGCCTAACTTGATGAAGTATGCAATGCCCATTAAAAAAAGGAAATCTTTCCAATTAGAAATCTAGGTGGGGAAGGGTTGACCATCCTCTCAACATCCTTAGAAATGGGCTGTTCCTCTCGTCCCACTGAAAGCTCCTGGAAGGCGAGAGGACGGTACCCTCGGCACCTACCCACCCTGGTACGCAGTAGCTTCAATAATGACTTGGACCCAGAGAACCTAAATGACTACAGGAACCTCACAAAATGAGTCGTTAGGGAATCCGGCTGGGACAGAAAGCCACTCCGCGCCACAAGCGAGGGAGAGGTGGGGGTCCACGAAAGTGCCAAGGGCTGCAGCGGAGAGCTGGGGATCCGGCCGGGCCCTGACTGAGGAGGCCCGGCGTGGTCGCACAGGGGCTATCCCAATACCTCCTCCTCGTCCTCGGACTCCGGCCGGCCCCCCTCCAGCCTCAGCGAGAAGTGGCTCATCTCTTCCTCCTCCTCTTCCTCCTCTTCCTCCTCCAGTTCCTCATCCTCTTCCAACTCCTCGTCCTCGTCCTCGAAGCGGCCCCTCAAGCGGCCCAGGCTGCGCTCCGGCTCCAGCTCAGGGGGCCGGGAGCCCGAGCAGCCAGGAGCCCCTGCCTCAGGCAGAGACCGCGGGCCCTCCTCACCCGCTGCGGGCGCTGGGGTGAGGGCAGGCGGGGAGGCAGGAGATGGGGGTGGCATGGCTGCGGCTCCCTCGGCCTTGGCCGCGCCCGCGTTCCCTGCCGTTACAGCCGGGACCCCCTCCATGCCCGGGGTAGAGATTAGGCGAGGCGAGACCGGGTGGCTGGATAGCGCGGGAGTTCCGCCCGCCTGCCTGAGCTACCAGTGCGCAGGCGCGGGAGACCTGCGGGGCCCGCTGGGAAGTGTGGTTCACCGCCTCTCACCTAAGTCGGGGAGTAGGCGGAGCCGCTCAGGTATATGGGGCGGGGTTTGCGGGCCGCATTTTAGAGGAATCGCACCTTTTTTTTTTCCCTTTGAAACGCTGACGCTCTCTTCACTGCCTGCTAAAAACGACAGAACTGGTACTTTCAGACAATATTCTGTTTGCATCGACTGATGCGCAGAGCACTGAAATAGATGCTAAAACGATGTTAGGTTTTTAGAAAGATGCTTAGAAAAAATTGGTTGGCCATTTCACAAGGAAAGAGTTAAAATAGCAGGTCTGGTTGCTTATTCTTCCCTATCTTCAAGGGAACCTAGAACCACAACTAACCTTTTGGAATATGACCCTCAGATTGTTTTTTCATGTCACTGATTGATGATTTTGCTGTGTACACCTGGAGCAATGGACCATGCTGTAACAGCTTGTTAGATTGCTTTGCACAAACATCAAGACTGATGATTTGCATGCACCTGATTTCATTGCTGGTGTCCAGTCTGTTGCCATAGTTGGCTGTGTAGCAGGATATGACTCCCACATGACCAGCTCCCTCCCATAAAAGACTCAGACCCTAAATCTCAAACAAGATTCCTTGGGCAGAGGCATAGCACATATGCTTGCAGTTTGATGCTAGAGAGAGCACATCCCATGTGGCCCTGGATGGGAAAGATGCAGAAGCCTGTGTTTGTCCTCTCTGACTCTGCTAATGTATATCTTTTCCCTGCTGCTTTTGCTCTGCATTTTTTGCTGTCATAAACGTTAGCCTTGAGTTTAACCCTCAATTGAATCTGGTGAATACTTTTTTTTTTTTTTGCAGAACTTGAAGAGGTTATGTGACTTCTAAAACAGTTTTGAAAAAGCTAAAGTTAGATCCATACCTCACACCATATACAAGATTCTGTCCCAAACTGAGCAGAAAGCTAACTGGAAACTATACAGGCTCTAAAGGAAAACAGGAGTGAGTTCCTTAACTTGGGTGAAAGAAAAGGATTTCTATCTAGATTTTAAATCCAGATAAAAATAAAGATTGGTAAGTTTGACTTACTAAAAAAAAACCTTCTGCATAGCCCTCAAAATATAAACAGTATCAAAACACAGTGGCGAAACTGGGAGAAAATATTTGCAACAATTATCTTGAATAAAGAACTAATAGACCTAATAGATTAAACAAATTTTAAATTAGAGGAAAAAAAGACAAAACTTGATTTCCCAAAGTAATATAAAAAACAGCTCCCAAATATAAAAAGATGTTCAAACTCTCTAACAATAAGAGAAAATATAAATTAAAATGACACTGGGTTCTGGTCCAGATAATAAGCACTTTATTTACTTTGTACTTCCCACTGAATACAGGTAAAAACTCTGGACAGAATGCATGGAACAGGTACCTGAAGACTGTAGAATACAAATGTTAACAGGCAGGTTGGGGAAGGAAACCAGAACTCAGAGTACTACTGAACCAAAATGGAACTGTGTTCTCCATTTTGTTTTTCCTCTGATATCTCCTGGCTTGGACTCAAAAACAAGCTGAAATCCAGAACTGCGCATCAGACAGAATTCCAGGAGAAATCCTCTATTACAGTCTGAGGGTCAGGAAAGGGGGCCTCTTTAGGTCATAGAAAGTGAGGGAAATCCAAAGTTTCCTTTGTTTTTGCTTTCCCATTCTCTCCCACACCAGTCCATACGCAAATCCACATTGGCAATGGAGGGGATGATGTGGAGGCCAGGCCGGTACCTAAAACTGAGAGAACTCTGATCCCAAGAGCGAGGGGGCATCCCCAGTGATGTTTTCACTGTTTACCATCTTGCTTGGTCCCAAGGCAGTTGCATTTGCAAGGAATGCATGGCCCAGCAAGGAAACTAAACCCTACTCCCTTTCCTAGCTAGAGGACCAGAAAGGTAAGTGTTGGGGAGATTAAAGAGATCAATAAAATGGCCCCATGGAGTTGTGTATGAACTTCTGGGCTCATCTTCAAGTTGCATGTGCATAGACCTGAATCTAATCAATGTTCCACAGGTTTTGAGAACTAAGATACAAGGTATATCACTGCCCAGGAATTTCCTTAATTGGATAAAGGGCATTTATAACCCTACAGTAAACATTATACTTAATAGTAAAAAACTAAATGCCTTCTCCCTAAGATAAGGAACAGAGCAAGCAAGCACTCCACCACTTCAACACCATATTGCAAGTTTTAGCCAGTGCAATAAGGCAAGAAAAATAAAAGGCATACAGATTGAAAAGGATATAATAAAAACTAACATAATTAGAAAGATATATTTTGTTTCTGCCCCCTCCCCTGACTTATTCCTTGGCATACAACTCCTAAAGCCTTAGGAATCTCTGAAATAATAAGTGTCTTTTTGTATGCCAACAACATAACTGGTGGCTGAGGACTCCTGGATAGCCTCAGGATGGTCTAGTTGCCAAGGGAACCAAACATTTGGTTAGAAGATTGGGACTTTCAGCTCCACCCTCCTGATCTCTGGGAGGGGATAGGAGCTGGAGGCTAAATTAATCACTAATGATCATGATTTAATCAATCATGCCAACATAATGAAGCCTCCATTAAAAATCCTAACTGAAAGGGTTCAGAGAGCTTCTGGGTTGGTGAACACATGGAGGTGCTAGAGGGTGGTGCACCTGCAGAGGGCATGGAAGCTCCACATACCTTCCCCCATACCTTGCCCTATGCATCTCTTCCATCTGGATGTTCCTGAGTCATAGTTGTTTATAATAAACTGGTAATCTAGTAAGTGAACTATTTCTCTAAGCTCTGTGAACTGTCCTAGCAAATTATCAAAGAGGAGGAGGAGATTATGGGGACCCAAATTTATAGCTGGTTGGTCAGAAATATGGAACACCTAAACTTGTGATTGGCATCTGAAGTGGGGACCGTCTTGTGGGACTGAGCCCTTAACCTATGGGATCTGACACTAACTACAGATAGATAGTATCAGAATTGAATTGTAGGATACTCAGCTAGTGTCAGATAATTGGTCAGTGTGGGAAAAAAAAAAAACCCCACACATCTGGTGTCAGAAGTCTTGAGAATAGAAAAGAAACTGTGTTTTCCCTTTTATTGTCCCTATTCATAGAGGACATGATTGTCACATACACAAAACTTCTATAACAATTAAGTGATTTAAATAAGGTCACAGGATACCAGGTCAACATGCAAAAATCATGATTATTCCTATATACTAGCAAAGAACATATTTCTATATACTAGTAATTTGGTATTTTGTTATGCCACCTAGGAAGCCAATACAGAACGGTGAAATGATAAACTGGTAGTCCATACAATGGAATTTAACAATAAAAAAAATGAAACACTGAAACATGAAATAACACGAATGAATCTCAAAGGCATTTTGCTGAGTGAAAGAAGCTGGTATCAAGAAGCTACATACTGCATGATTCCATTTATACGACATTCTGGAAAGGGTTAAACTATAGGGGCAGAAAAGAGATCAGTGGTTGCCAGGGGTTAGAAGTTGGGGAAGGATTTGACTCCAAAGAGCCAGCAAGAGGGAGTTTTTCAGAGTGACATAATTGTTCTGTATCCTGAGTGTGGAGGTAATGACACAAATCTACAAGATGTGTCGAAATTCACAGAACTGCATGCCAAAAAAGAGCCCAATTTAATTATATGTAAATTAAATGACAATGTTAATGATGTTGGTGATAATAAAACCACATTGAGATACTACTCTCACCAATCAGAATGGCACAAATTAAAAAATAACAACACATTCTATTCATGAGACTGTAAGGAAACAGTCATTCTTGTACATTGCTGATGTGTTTGTTAATTAGTACAAAACCACATGGAAGAAAATTTGGCAAAGTCTAGGAAAACAACATGTGCATTTGTCTCCTGACCTAACAATTGCTCTTCTAGGAATTTATTCTGACATGTAATTCAACAATACGAAAATACACATACAAAAGGTTATTCACTGCAGCTTTGCTTGTAATTGCACAATTTTGGAAACCAGCAAATACGCCCATACACTGAAGAGTTGCTGAATAAATGACTGAACATCCACCAGATGGAGTACTATGCAGCTCTTAAAAACGACAAAGTTCTCTAAAAACCTTTGTGGAGTGATTTCCAGGACACATTGTTAAATGAAAAAAACCGTACAAAAGAGTACACACAGCATGCCATCCTTTGTTCAAGGAAGGAGAAAGAAGAAAATATACATGTACCTGCATATCTGAGCAACAATTAACACAAGAAAGATAAGCCAGATACTATTTAAAACTTGTGTAACCACCACCACACTCAGAGTGTGGTTGGAACCTCTGGGTGTGGTTAGAATGGGGTGGAAAGAATAGAGGGAATGGATATGATACTTCTCTGAATATACCTTTTTACATAGTCCTGACTTTCACATTTAAAAAAAAAAAGAAATCAACAAGGATGGGGGAACCTTTTAAAACTGAATAGAAAGAGAGAGAAATGAATCAAGCCATATTTCCAATGAAAAAGATAACCACTATGAAGGGTGTGGAGGGGGAAGAACTAACCCAAATTACTTTTGAGCACAGGTTTTGGGCTACATGCCCTTAGGCTAAAGACAAAAAGCATAGAAAGTCCTCACTTTGCTCAGTTCTAACATGCATGAATTTCACTTTCCACAGGTTAGTCAAATAAGACCAACCCCCTAATTAACAACACTCAAGTTTCAAGTTACCATCATATAAGCACCATGAATGATTGTATAAGCTTTGCCACCACTGCTTCACTTCATAAATTTCTAAGTAAACAGCAGAGGCACATTGTGATCAGTGATACCTCACTACTTTCAAAATTGGCTGGTGAGTCAGAATGGCCATCATTAATAAGTCTACAAACAATAAATGCTGGAAAGGGTGTGAAGAAAAAGAAACCCTCCTACACTGTTGGGAATGTAAACTGGTGCAGCCACTATGGAGGACAGTACAGAAGTTTCTTAAAAAAACTAAAAATAGA